TGATAGATTAGTAGTATATTTAGTAGTTGGAAAGAAAGAGAGCAGAAATGAAAAGTGCATCTAGAGAATTTAAAAGAATTAAAAACAAATCTAAAAATAATACATAAAGATTAATATTATGTATTTTTTTCATGAGGAATGTGGAGCGCACATTTATGCATTTATTTATTTAGATGAGATTTACTTTAGAGCACATTCAGTATTCAACTTTAATTTTATTTTCTCTTTCTTATGATATATAAGTATAACATAATTACCTGCAAATGCTATTATTGTTGTATGCTTACAGTAATACAGAAACAACATTACGAGTACTATATTTACAGATAACATCTGTATAATAAAAAAAGCACCAGTCTAATGGTGAAAAAAAGGTAAATATTGTAGACCAGCATAAGTATCAACCAATTATTCCACCACTCTGTTTCATTAGAGTTGCAATTTTCTTTTATAATATCATGAATATTATAAATAAGATAAAGATTTCATTACGTTCCAAATAAATTTATATATTTTATGTATGTAATACTGCGCACACATATTAAAAGGTGATAATATCGCATTTATAATAAGATAAAATCCTGGCAATGTAGCGATTTTTGGATTCTGAAAATAATTTAATTTGATTTATTTTTAAGAAATGCGCACAATACTTGAGAGCAAATTATTTTTGTGCCATGTATTACCTATGTAAAATTCCACACACAGTATCATATTGTCTGCGGTATATGAAAAGCTTCATCGATGAAATAATGTGATAATACAATTCAGATATAAGCAAAATAATATAGTACTTGTAATGAATAACGTTAATGTGGAATACATAAATATTTTATATTTTAATTTCATGTAATCGAGATGAGATACGACACTCATGATTACTTTAAAAATGTGTCCACAAATATCATGTAACTTCAATAGCTGCACATTCGTCAAATTAATCCTATTACATTAAATGAATCACAGCAGCTTGTTTTAATTTAATCTAACCTAACCAATTATATTATATGCTCCTCATTAAAATGTGTAAAACTGTACGTCGCACATTTAATACGATTAATATACTACGTAATAAAATGTAATACACTAATGAAATAATTAAATATTATTTTTGAAAGCATGATACAATCCAGGCAGCATACGCTTGTGTTTACATTCGATATCCAAAGACACTGAGAGGTTAGATTAGGTTAGGTTAGGTTAGATCAAACAAATTTATCGTTTAACAGTTGGCAGCCCTACGAGATAGGCTGTGCAGCATTCTGCGCGCGTACAAAATAAATTTCAAATCGCTTCTAGCATAACCATCTTCACGCGATCGACTTTATTTGAATTGAAAAATTGCACCGAATCGAATTATGATGCGGCGCCGATTTGTCCGAATGTAATTCGGGACATCGCGATGCTGTATAAGCGTCGAATGAGCACGAATTGTCACGTAAATATGAATCAAATCAAATCTACTCACCGGCTGTTCCACAGGCCGCTCCTCCTCGGGACAGTTCGCTCGCCTCGGGACGTCCCATTCCGATCTTGATGCACACAAATTCACATGATATCATCAAAGCGAACGCGCGACACTTTATTCGGCACTCCCGATACTCGCTAGCATCCGATAATCATCATCAAGGGCGCGAATAACGCGACGCAACTTCGCTCCATCTTCGCGATCGCGCTATCACTGAACTGTGAAAAACAGTTGTCGCGCACTTTCACCGACATATTATGAAAGTCGCACGATCATCCTTGGACACTCTCGACACTCGTTCACTCACGATATTCGTTTAAAAACGGTTAAAAGATGCGCAAAATGCGGACGTACGACGATCCGTGTAACTGCGTATGACTCCGATTCACGTATGACGCGTTTGACGTAGCAGTCACGCGCCAACATGGCGGCCGAACCACTGCGCATTCGTTTCTGCGCATGGCCATTCCTGCGCTCAACGTTCGCGCAACTTTGATTTCTGAATATTGTCTACGGCTTTAATTAATAGCATAATGATAAATATATAAAGATGGAATCAATTAATCATATTGGTCATATATGTAGACTTGCCCGAAGAATAGAGAAAAAATTGAGAGATATTTTTAATTTCTTTTTCTTTTAGTAAAGGATGGAAATGTCTATTCATAGGCTTGTTCTTTTTTTCCTCTTTCGCGCAATTTCGATTCAATATATAACGTAGAAAATTCATAGTATATTATGCTAATGATATGAATTACGAATGATTCGATTGTTTTATCGCGCTTTTCCAAAGTCAAATCTTATAATATTTAGTTTTGCATTTTAAAAGACTGAGAGCGATTCATATACAGAGTTTGAAGAGATATCCAATGCACGACATATTATACTTGCGTTGATTAGTATTCATCAATACCGAACTGTTAATCGCGAATACGTACAACACTTTCACACATTTTTTTCGCAAAGAACGATATACGAAATGCAATATTTCGCGCCTCGCGTTTCACTCATGCAGCCATCTTTCTTTGCTGTTTAGTATCGCCATCTGCATTCGCGTTAAACGCCAGAATTACGTAGTCCAGATACTTCGACTGCCGGTAGTCATCATTTTGTGCATGTCGGTAAATTGTTAGAATCGCGTCGCGCAAGCATGATTTTTTTATTTGTAACATAACAAAATATGTAATTAAAAATTCATGTAAAACACGTGTTTTTAATCAAATTACATATACTTATTCCGTTACTCTAATACTTGTACGTTAACAGATTTATAATAAGACAGATTTATAATAATAACAGAGTTATAATAAGATACAATCCTGGTAATGTAGCGATTTTTGGATTCTGAAAATAATTTAATTTGATTTATTTTTGAGAAATGCGCACAATACTTTAGAACAAATTATTTTTGTGCCATGTATTACCTGTGTAAAATTCCACAAACAGTATCATATTGTCTGCGATATATGAAAAGCTTCATCGATGAAATAAATGGTTGAATATGATTGAGATATAAGAAAAGTACTTGTAATGTAGTAATATAGTACTTGTAATGAATAACGTTAATGTGGAATACATAAATATTTTATATTTTAATTTCATGTAATCGAGATGAGATAAGACACTCATGATTACTTTAAAAATGTGTCCACAAATATCATGTAACTTCAATAGCTGCACATTCGTCAAATTAATCCTATTACTTTAAATGAATCACAGCAGCTTGTTTTAATTTAATCTAACCTAACCAATTATATTATATGCTTCTCATTAAAATGTGTAAAACTGTACGTCGCACCTTTAATACGATTAATATACTACGTAATAAAATGTAATACACTAATGAAATAATTAAATATTATTTTAAAAGCATGATATAATCCAGGCAGCATACGCTTGTGTTTACATTCGACATCCAAAGACAGTGGTTAGGTTAGGTTAGGTTAGATCAAACAAATTTATCGTTTAACAGTTGGCAGCCCTACAAGATAGGCTGTGCAGCACTGCGCGTATATAAAATAAATTTGAAATCGCTTCTAGCATAACCATCTTCACGCGATCGACTTTATTTGAATTGCACGGCATCGCGTCGAATTATGATGCGGCGCCGATTTGTTTGAACGTAATTCGGGACATCGCGATGCTGTATAAGCGTCGAATGAGCACGAATTGTCACGCAAATATGATAATAAATCACATCTACTCACCGTTCACCGGCTGTTCCACAGGCCGCTCCACTCGCTCGCCTCGGGACGTCCCATTCCGATCTTGATGCACACGATATCATCAACGCGAACGCGCGACACTTTATTCGGCACTCCCGATACTCGCTCGCATCCGATAATCATCATCAAGGGCGCAAATAACGCGACGCGACTTCGCTCCATCTTCGCGATCGCGCTATCACTGAATTGTCGAAAACGGCTGTCGCGCACTTTCACCGACATCTTATGAAAGTCGCGCGATCATCCTTGGACACTTTCGACGCTCTTTCACTCGCGATATTCGTTTAAAAACGGTTAAAAGACGCGAAAAATGCGGACGTACGACGATCCGTGTAACTGCGTATGACTCCGATTCACGTATGACGCGTATGACGTAGCTATGACGCGTATGACGTACAGTCACGCGCCAACATGGCGGCCGAACCAGTGCGCAGAAACGAATGCGCACTGGTTCGGCCGCCATGTTAGCGCGTGATTGCTACGTCATACGCGTCATACGTGAATCGGAGTCATACGCAGTTACACGGATCGTCGTACGTCCGCATTTTTCGCGTCTTTTAACCGTTTTTAAACGAATATCGCGAGTGAAAGAACGTCGAAAGTGTCCAAGGATGATCGCGCGACTTTCATAATATGTCGGTGAAAGTGCGCGACAGCTATTTTTCACAGTTCAGTGATAGCGCGATCGCGAAGATGGAGCGAAGTCGCGTCGCGTTATTTGCGCCCTTGATGATGATTATCGGATGCGAGCGAATATCGGGAGTGCCGAATAAAGTGTCACGCGTTCGCGTTGATGATATCGTGTGCATCAAGATCGGAATGGGACGTCCCGAGGCGAGCGAGTGGAGCGGCTTGTGGAACACCCGGTGAACGGTGAGTAGATGTGATTTATCATATTTGCGTGACAATTCGTGCTCATTCAACGCTTATACAGCATCGCGATGTTCCGAATTACGTTCGAACAAATCGACGCCGCATCATAATTCGATGCGATGCCGTGCAATTCAAATAAAGTCGATCGCGTGAAGATGGTTAGGCTAGAAGCGATTTCAAATTTATTTTACATACGCGCAGTGCTGCACAGCCTATCTCGTAGGGCTGCCAACTGTTAAGGTGCAATTTCATTGACGCTAAAAAGTAGCGTCAATGAAAAGGCCGCTTTACACACTGAAAAGTTGAAACTGTTTGAACTTTATTTTATTGACGCCATATCTAGAGAAAGTCTAGTGATTTTAATTTGCCGCTGGTTTCTAGCGTCAATGAAATTGCACCTTGAGGGATTGCTATTTTTTTGTATCTAATAAGGGATAATTTTTTGAAGGATTTAAAGAAAAGAAAAATGCTTAATGTGTTTGAATGAACACAATATAGACAAGAATAATAACATAATATAGACAGAAAATTTATAAAATGATTATAGTTTCAAGAATTTTCTTTCGTAACTACGGCGGACTACAAGATAATGCAATTAAAGTACTATGTAAGGTTATTTTTATCACACTTATATGATTTAATTATTTTGTACGTGCGATATGTGTTAGAGCACAATTGCATTATTATTTTTATATATGGAATTTATATTAATTAAAACTTTAATAGAAAAATGTTATTTTTCAGATAATGCAACTAGGAAAAATACCACGAGGGTTATTTCAAATTCAGCAGAAGAATCGCATAGTAACGAAATATCAGAAAAAAATGTTAAGCAAAAAAAAATAATTCCAGATACATATCGATTTATGTATCCGGAATTTCTACCAGATCCAAATCCGTTATATCGCAATGCACTCAGAGAAAAATTGGAACGCATAGATATGTTAGCAAGGCGAACACGCATAGCAATACCAGAGTTTTATGTTGGTTCAATATTAGCGGTGACTTATTCTGAGCCACATGCTCCTGGAAAAGTCAATAAATTCGTTGGCATATGTATAGAGAGGAATGGAAGCGGATTGAGATCTTCATTTCTATTGAGAAATATAGTTGATAATCAAGGTATTGAAGTATGTTATGAATTATATGATCCTGCAATACAGAAAATAGATTGTCTCAGGTAAATACACAGAGAAATTATTATTTTATATATAAATTGTTTTGAAATCTTACCACTTATTAAAATCATTATTCACAACATATCTAGACTTGAAAAAAGACTGGATTCACATTTACGATATCTTCGGGATGCACCAGCAAAATATAGTACTTTTCCCTTTGATCTGGAGCCAGAATTTTTGCCAGAAGGAGCATCAGTTCCTGTAAATGATATCAAAGTACCTCTCAATGGTCTCCCATGGCTGGAGAAATGGGAACGTCAGGAACTGAAAGGTATAATAATAAAGGGTGTAACATTCAGTAAAAAACGCAATGCGAAAACTAAAATTAGTGCAAAACCATGGGAAAAATATGACTTAATGAAAATATACAGGTAAGAAAGCACCTTGTCATATCTTATATTCTTAACATTAATTTCATATTGACTCTTATTCTAATTCATATTTGTTATCTAGGGAAACTATACCTGAAGAGGAACAAAATGAAATATTTAATGAAGTTTATACAAAATTACATGAAATAGAAATTACTAAACGTAGGTTAAAACATAAACGTACGTTTATACGTCCACAGAAAACAGGATAAATGATTATTATACAGTACTTCTTAATTTATGTAAGAAAATAAAATGAAATAAATATAATTGTTTTGTTACAATCCTGTATCTTGATAGTGATATTTGCTTGATAGTGATAGTTACTTATCTCGTAGAATAGTAATTCTATTTAAAAAAAAAGTTCAAGATTTTATATAATTTTTAACAATTGTTATATTTTGTTATGTATCACATATAAACGAAGAAGATAAAATATAGAATTAAACATATATATCAAAACAAAATATAAATTAATTCTTTGATAATTTCAATATAAACTAAATAGTCATAGTTAAATATAATGATATTTATATTAACATATTTGTAAATTTTAGATATTTTTTATGGCCAATAAATTTTTTTTATTAGGAAGTGAAAAATATACAATAGAAACTGGAAAACTCATTTAATCCTACATTTCTATATTGTATCATTTTTGTTCTATTTTTATCATTTTTTTACCATATTTTTTAACACTTTGAATGGTTTTATACATTGATCCGCGTGCTTGTGTTTTAATGGACAAAGCTAAAACATTTCATCATATAGACTAGCGTATTATTTTTTTTTAAATTTATTATAAAAACCAAGCACACAGATCTCAATTCTAGATAATCTTTCTGTTAAGTTGTACCAAACCTCAGAGTTTATCTTTATGATTAAGTGAATAATACAGTGTAAAAACATTATAGACCCCAGAATTAAGCTCAAACTTTAAGGTGGCAGTCAAAGTGTTAAAATAGCTAATTGTATTTCTTGCTTTCTTAAATCACTGTTTAACAATACAAGAGATCAATGTAATATATGAAATTAACTTGTTAATAAAGCTACGTTAATTTCTTTAACCATTTTAATACGATATAACATTTTGATGAGGTGTTCCTTTGCAAGGGGCGATGTTGAATACCATACTGGACTATCTGGTACACAACTGCGTTCTGGCAATAGATAGAAGACATCATTTCGCGTCTTAACACTTTCAGGGCTGAAATATATCAAGTATAAAATACATACAATATATCATTAAATTCGATACAATAAATTAAGTAACGTTTTACTTTGTTCACTTATAATATACAAACGTACCATTTTGATAAATAAAATTCATATAACTTAACAGGACATCTCAATGGATTTTCTTCATTTTCTTGTTGCTCATAAACCTTCTTTTTTCTTGAATTAGCTTCTTTAAGGAAGTTATAGGTAAATAAATTAACATATTACATATACTAATAAAAAATTTTTATAAAATGAATTGAAACTAACCAAGAGCTGATTGCGGTGGATAAAATCTAAGAAGGACATTCCTCGAATTAGGAACTTTTCCTGCCATTGCTGTAGGTTGAGCAGCTGGATTACGTTTCCAATGTTTCATAATATGAGAAAAAGAAAGCTGCATATGTTCTTCCACTGTCTGAAAAGATTCAAAAATTTAAAAAGAATATTTATTGAATAAACTATTGTTGGCTATTTTAACTATTTTAATTAGTTATATAATTTTTATTAGTTATATTATTAAACTTACCACAAGATTAAAATGTTTTGTGTTAAAAAACATAAGTGTGCTTAATAAAACGTGTGGAGAATGAGCACCTAATTGCTTGCATTCCCATAAATGTTCTTCCTCCACTCTAGTCACTATATATTCTGAAAAGTGAAAGTAACACAGCGTTTGTAAAGAAAAATAATGAACTTCACAAAAATGAAAAATTTATAATCACGACGAATATGATATACTCACGTGCTTCATTATATAATGCAGAGAACTTTTTCGCTATTTCGTTTAAACAGTCTGTAAATTTCTCATAATATGAGTCTGTGAATATATTATCAATTCGGTTATTTTCAAACAGGTACTGCTGTATTCCTAAAACAAATTTATGGAAGAAACGTTTGAGGTTAAAACAAAAGAAATATATCTACATCAATATTAAAGCTTTTACATTGATAAAATAAAAATATTATAAGGTAGAAAATTTTTTTTACCCAAGCAAAGATAATATATTGTATCAGGAGCATACTCTGCACCGTTCGGCTTTCTTACTTCTTTCACAAAAAGACATAATGAATAATTTAATTCATCCGCGGTAAGTTGTAAAAGATCTGTCTTGAATAACTTTATTTTCCTCATTGGTGTAATCTGTTTTTCTAATTCAGTATTCTTTCCAATTACCTACAGTTTAAAAAAATTCAATTTATATTATACATATAGTTCCTCATATTCTGCTAAATTATATATGTAAACGAAAATTGTAAACGAACCCATTGTCTCCATGCATTTACGCCAAATGTATATTTTAACGCCATATTTGCGTCAGGTTTTTCCATTGGTTCCATAATACGCGGCTGCGGAGGCGGCTGTGGTTCCGGTGGTGGCATTAATGGCATGTCATTCGTACCAGAGACGCGTCTCATTCGTTTGGCCGGTGTTGATCGTGGTTTATATGGCATTACACGTTTTCTTCCTCTAGAGGCAGCCATTAATCGTTCTGATTGCACTATATAAAAATACATTAATAGAAATAATTCTATGTTTTATTTCCCATGTATTTTTCTTCAAGAAAAGTAATCACGCTTATCATTATGGTTTATTGCTTGATAATAATAGATAATAAATATACACACATATAATTATTAATAATATGTAATTATTAATAATATATATAGGTATACATGTCTGATTACCATCATTATCCACAGCGTTCTCTGGCTGAGGCGGTGCTTGCGTAGCCGTAATCGTATTCGGTGTCAAAGCAGCTTCCAAATCGACTGCCGGCTCGTCTATTTCTCCTGTTGCCATTTTTAATGCCATTTGCAACATGTCATCCCCAAACGCGTTATTGGAATCAACCGCTTCCGGACTGAAACCATCACTATGTAAATTGTCTTGGTCAGCTGTGTCACCTTCCCTAAACAAAAATATGTGCTTTTGGTGTGTGAGACAAACAGAATACATTGACATTTATAGGGGACATTTATAGGGCACAATTTAAAAATATTTTTGGATTTAAATCTATATAAATTCCTTTTCTTTTTCTTACCTATCATCCACAGAGTCTGAATCACTGTCGTTAGTTTTCTTTTCAGTAGCTACCATCTCCGCCATCATAAGGAGTTCGGCTTCGTATGGATCGGCCGGTATTTTTTCTTGTATTCTTTTAATATCTTTCATAATTCCTTGAGCGCTATTTCTCGTAGTAGGTATGAATAAAGGGACGGGAATGGGCAGTGGAAAAGGCATTGGAACTGGAAAGGGCATACTGTACATGTGCATCGGAAACGGAACGTAAATTGGTACTGGTATTGGTACGATCACTTGTTGGACTTTCTCCTTCGTCTGTGTCCATTTCGTGCAAGGGTGAGGACGCACGGAAACTCCTTTCGTGTGTACTAAAGGTTTGCATTGAGTCGTTTTGTTCTGAATCTTCACTGGACTAGGTGGTCTAGTAATGACTTGCTGCTTATAAATGATTTGCGCCGATTGATTCGCGTTCGTAGGTATGATCATGTTATTTTGTTGCGAGTTTGGGCTTGCTTGTCCATTTCCTATCGCGGCTAAACTGGTTACTGAAGAGATGACTGGCATAGTCTTTTTACTTTGTAATTCACTGGGCTTTTGAACGATCTGATTTGCGCTTTTTTGTGATAACGTGGTTCTTTTGGGCACTCCTGTAGGTACGGGGTCGTCACTCGATGGTATAGTTATGGGGGATTTAGTATATTGTGCTTGAAAATTCATGACACAATTATATGAACAAAAGTTACGTATTGTCGCATCCGACATTGTGAGATGATAATGTGCTAAAGAATATTCTTTACAAAAATCACAGTTAATTCGTTTTGCAGATACTGCATTAATAGAAACCTGCAAAAAGATGAGAAAATTTTATATTTTGCGTTAAATATTCTACATAAATTCATTAAATATTATTGTACATAGCAAATACAATACCTGATAAAGTGTCAAACAATTTAAGCTGCACATCATCAGAGTCTGCCCTGTTTTTAGTTCCTTTTTAATCATATCAAAGTTATATTTTTTTACTTTGCACCAATTACAAGGAACTATTTTCCTATTTGTTATGATAAATATATTCAAGCATGTCTTATTACAAAACGTATGGGGCTCATTATCATAAAATACAATAAAATGTTGCTTATTTGGTAACTCGAAAAATTTCTTGCAAGTAGAACATTGCTCAGGTTTGACTTGTTTCACAAACTTAAATGCAGCAAAACAGGGCTCGCTACATATAGCTACCGGAGTACTATTATATATCTGAACTTCGCAATGTACAAGCTTTTCCTACAAGAAAAAAATTTCATTGTATTTAAAAGTTGTTTGTAAAATACATTTAAAATATTTAAAAATCTAGATATTGTACATACCTCTTGACAGACGCTACATGATTTTTTTTCTGTAGTTGGAGGTTCTGAAGAATTCAATTTCGAATATTTTTCCATACAATCCTGAGTGCAAAAATCTTTAAATTGTCCTTTCTCTCCGACTGGTGCGAGAAAACCGTCTGTGCTAAAACTTATGTCTTTCTGACAATAACTACATACTTTCAAACCTTTTTTAAATTCCTCCAAACATGTTGAACAACAAAATTGTCTTACATCGCATCCAAATCTCACACAATATTTGCCTAAACTTACAGCTTGGACAGCACCGTTACAATTCTTACAATAACTTCCATATTTTCTTTGAAACTTTCCTAAACATTCCTCGTTACAAAATTCCATAGTTTCCCAAGAAAGGTTTCGTTCGTCATTTGCTTCTATAATTAGTAAACAAGATGCGCAACGTTTTTCTCGTTTAGAGGTAGCTCCTTGGCTCGGTATATCTACTGTTTTATTATTTGCTGCTTTAAACAATGCCTTGCATGTTTTTGAGCATACATGATAGTTCTCTGTACCAATCTTCACTCGAATTTTACATGTTCGTTCTTCGCCGCATTGCTTACATGTTTCTTTAGTAGTGATTTCTTCTACTTCTGAGCTCTTTGACTCATCGTCAATATTAATAATATCTGTTGTTGCAGTTTGTACTTCTACCGTTGATTCATTTTGAGTAGCCACTGTACTATCTTCACTACTATTTTTATTTTCTATAACTGCTGTCTTAGGTTCATCCTTGCTTGAAGCATCTTTGTCAAGTTCAGAATTAGATTTATTACATTTTTGTACTGTTTCATCATCTTTAGCATCCTTTTCAAGCACAGATTCATTTTGTTCATTGTCTATTGTTTTACCTGATTTATTCGGTATTATTACTTTCATACTATCTGGGATAATACATAATTCGTCATCCTGTCCTGGTAATACATCAGTTTGTTCCTCATCTGTTTCCATTGGTGTAATTTCTTCAATAGCTTTTTTAGACTGTTCAACTTGTTTAACGGGTGATTTTGTAGATGATGTACTTTCTGTTCCCATTTCAGATATATTTGAATCTGGAAGATCAATGTCCATCGCTGCACTTTCAACAGAATCAGTGGTTTGTACATTTGATTCTTCAACAGTGTTATCCACAGCTTTATTAACATTGGTATCTTTTGGGTCATTTGATGTGCAATCATTAAGTTTATCATTATTAGAATCATTGTTTCTAGCATTTACTGCATCCTGTAAATTATCACCTTGCTCATATAAGTTTTTAAAACTAATCTCATCCTCGGCAAGATCATTTATCAGATTATCATTTTCCACTGGTTCGATATTTTCAGAAGTAAGATTATCACCACCAAATGGATCTTCGGCATCTATAGATTGACCTTCAATTTGCGAATCGTCGTGCTTGTCGTGAGAAAATTGTACAAACTCTGTATTTTCAGGTTCAATGTTCTTTTCAGATAGATCTTTATCAAGATTTTCTAAATTACTATCTGAAGATTCTGATTCTACCTTTTTTGACAGATTAACATCCTTTTGAGATATTTGCAGATCATCTGTAACACTTGATTCATCTGGAACATCACAATCTTCAGGTTTGTCTTTAAATAATGTTTCATTTATACTAGTCAATTTTGCACTGTCATTTTCTGTATTATCTGATATATTACATGAATCTTCAAAGTTTAACGGATGTTCCGTGTTACATTTTTCTGTCTTGAGTGTACTTAGCTCTGTTGTTTCCTTGTCTACATTAACAGATTCACTTTCTTTACAAGAACTTTCAACTACAATATTTTCTTTGATTTTTACATTCTCAGTATTCTTTTCAGATAATAACACCTCAATTCCTATGTTACCATCTTTTTCAATAGTTTGTAAAGCAGAATCATCTGTATTTATATTTAATGGAATTATATCTTTTTCAGAAACTGTTACTTCTTTATTTATTTCATTATGCACTTCTGCAATATTAATTATATCTTCATTAGCTATATTTGATAGAGTTGCATCGTTTTCAAAAGTTATCGTAGTTGCTTCTTTATTTGTTTCACTATGTACTTCTGCTATATCTTCATTAGCTATATTTGATAGAGCTGCATCATTTTCAAAAGTTATCGTAGTTGTTTCTTTATTTGTTTCATTATGCACTACTGCAATATCTTCATTAGCTATATTTGATAGAGTTGCATCATTTTCAAAAGCTATCGTAGTTACTTCTTTATTTGTTTCACTATGCACTTCTGCAATATTTTCATTAGCTATATTTGATGGAGTTGCAGCATCTTTTTCAGAAACTATTGCAGTTATTATTTCTTTATTTGTTTCACTATGCACTTCTGCAATATCTTCATTAGCTATATTTGATGGAGTTGCAGCATCTTTTTCAGAAACTATTGCAGAAACTATTACTTCTTTATTTGTTTCAGTATGCACTTCTGCAGTATTTTCATCAGTTATATTTGATGAAATTATATCTTTTTCAAAAGCTATTGTAATTGTTTCTTTAGTTGTTTCATTATACACCTCTGTATCTTCATTGGATGGCAGTTTATCAGATCTTTTATCTTCTTTCTCAATATAGGTTTTATCGTTACTTTTAGAGTTGCTTATAGCTTCCGATTGAGATACATCAGTCTTGTCTGCAGATACTGAACTGTCTTTGGAATCCATTTTTATTTACTTTAGTTTATTTCTTATATACCTAAAAATATAACATAATAAACTTCGATAATAATAAAGAAATGCTTGTTATTTATTGTATATAAGAAGCATTTTTTCATATTAGTTCATATTTAAATTTATAATAAAATGGTAGTTTAATGAGTTATAAAAATCAAGATAAATATTTAAAAAATTACTGAAAATTTTAATGTAGAAATACTTTAATAATACGGTAATATTCTGTATTGAAGAACATAAACGTAATGTTCAGATATAAGTATTCATTATAAATTCTTGAATAAAATTTATGATAAAAGTGAACGATAAAGTGAGTGGCAGGAGAGAAAGCTTCGAGCAACGAAGTATTTTATATGCAAGTATTTTAATGCAAAATGGCGTATAAAAAAAATACTTCGTATGCAAGCGAACTATACATCAACAGCTTGTCATACGCGAGTAACATGTAGGTTAGAAAAAGATCCGCTCGTATCGCCATGTTTTCTCTACCTGTTAATCAGTCCTCCAGACGTCAACTTTAAATATCAATGAGACGAAGCGCTGAAAATACGCCATGTATATACGAATCTACGAGTAATATTACGTTCATTCGGGGAAAAAACGTATGCTGCTCGCGAAAATAGCGACAGATGCGACGTCGATGTCTCGCGCGACTCGTTCGAAACTGAGCGACGCGATTATCGAAGTCTGATGACGCGCTGATGAACGCCGGTTTTCGTTGCGCGCGCGATACCTTGGTCCTTTCATGAGACGTTTATTCGGGGAAATTGGCGTCTGTCAGAGTTGGACTCGCGTAAACACGATGTGACACGGTTGAAGCTCAACAATCGTGACGCAAACGATTTTACGCTGATAATAAAAAAAAAACTTCCTGTACCATGATACAATAAGACAGATATAACATTTCCATGGATGCAGTGAGTATCAGAGCATTTTGACCAATCGGAAATAATCCCAAATGTTCAAAGTGAATGGCTGCAAATATTAGATGTATGTATATAATATTAATGAAATATATAATATTTTATATAAATATTATAATTTTATAAATAATATTTTATATTTACTTAAATCACTTGTTTTTAATTTAAAAAATATTTCAAATTTCTGGTAATGACATATAGAGAGTATAAGTAATAGAATATGATTTTTTATATCGCATACAATATATAATTTGAAAGAAAAAAACTCGACGCTCTCGCAGGAAGTGTTGCCACTAGCTTATTATTTTTGTTAACGTTTTTTTTTCTTTTCGCTATATTTAAGGAACGTTCGAAAATCCTACCCACGGGAGCGCTTATTATTATATATAATTGGTCAATCAAAATAAAAAGAGAAAGATTTCTTTGGCTGATATTCATTTCGTTTCAAGACCGTCTTAAATAATGTCTTAAAATGCTAATGCTTCGTTTTTAACATCTTAAGATTAATGAATATCGGCCTTTATTCTGATTCATCAATCCAATACTCTACCTCACGAATAGAATTTCTGAACGCACTTTTATGCATGGATCGTTCGAAATAAATATGTATACAACTTCATGGCATTTTTGCCGCAAAAATCGATGAATTATCTTATATATCAATATTTTTGTAATTTCTTCAGAAGAGCCGATAACGGTTAACAGTACTGGCCAGGTGAGTTTGTCCAGTTTTTATCTTGTTGGGCGATACACTTGGCGCGTCAACAAACGAACTCGGTCGAGTTCAATGACCGCGCATACAATACCAAGTATTCCCGTGTCCCGGGTATCCTGCACGTCTCATGTCTGACAATCTGTTTTAGAATTGCGAAAATTACGAAAGTGCGATAAAAAAATCTTGCACGATTAAGAAAAAATACAGTGCTATCGCGCGTCACAAGAAAATCGACAATCAGATTGTAAAAGTTCTTGAAGAGGGCTCGTTATTCATCATCGTTAACCATCCCATTGGAAAATTGAGAACGCTCCGAAAAAAATTTCGTGGTGGACGAGGATAGAACAATGAATAAATGTTGGAAATCGAAAGAGAATAACGACATGGAGTAGCGAGAGGAACGATTCTGCGATTCGATAGAATCAGAGACGATAGACACATCACGATAGAGAAGAGGAGGAAGTGGCGTGTTCGGCAATAATCGCGAACGGTTGCAAATTCATATTGGAACGAAACTCGGGCGCAAAGTGGCGGTGACAAGTGGTGTTGCACGAGCGTTGGAGAGAGCGAGGGGATAAGGACAGATGCGCGCGCGCGCGCGCACGTGAACTCGTGCTCGTGTATGACATATACATCGCGCATCTCCTCGAGGTACGTTTATTGCGCGGCGCGAGTGGAGCGTGTTCTCTTTATCGGGCCAGGGGTGTGTGTTTTTTTGCGGTTTGCACGTCCCTCGTCCCCGGCTTGTCCGTAAAGGTCGCCCTCGTGATTTCGAAGCCGAAACGACCTTTTCGAAGGCGCGCATCCTTCTCTCTCGCTCTCCCTACGGCGAACGCTCGCACGGCTCATCATATCATCCGAGGAACGACGCGTCGTCGATCATCATTGCGACCGTTACGACGGAGGAGGAGCGAGAAAATGGCCGACAATTGGACACAGAGCGTTGTTTGCCGGTAAGAAGTTGTGCCAGACGTTACGCCCCGCAAGTTCCGCTAGCGAGATTTTACGCGAAAGCCGTTATCTCGCGTATGAGTATCGAGCTTCGCGTGGATAGAGATGGAGAGGTTAGCAACAAGCACATTGCGGACTCGTAGCAATGTACGAATACAATAATATAAATATTGACGCTTGGCGAATATATCCATCTATATATCCTTGTGAATCTCTTGATGGATTTCAAACACACAATAGTCTCACCCACGAATTTTTCTCCCGTATCTTTCGCATGACAATAACCGCATTTTCAATTTCAGATATTTCAAGAATGGTGCTTGCCGCGAGGGAAACAACTGTCGGTATCGCCATGCGCAAGTGAATAGAAACGATGCAAATATCAATGAAACAGTGACAACTCCGACTAATAGTCCTGGCTATATTGTCACTTGTCGATTCTTCAAACAAGGCATATGTAAATTTGGTAATCAATGTCGTTTTAGCCATAGTACAGGTACTGCGGATAATGATGTCACGCAAACTAATGCGATAGAAAATTCTGCCTCGGGTCAGCACACAGCAAACACTTTGAAAAATAAGTGAGTTTAAATACATTGTATAATAATAATTGTAACTCCTTATTTTGTAATAGTTATGATACATTTGTTTATGTATATATTTATAATAATGTATATTTTTCATTGTAATATATTCAATTTTTTCTATTCAACTAGATTATTTTTATGATATCTTTGTTTGTTACAGAAAAGCTGATAAACGTACTGCTGAAGATTGGGTAAAAGCACCTGAGTTTATACCTACAGCTGTGTCTCCGGTTGCTGGATCATCTTCTACAGATGTAACATCTGCATCGGGAACATCTATGAGTACATCAAAGCCAGTTTCATACGCTCAAGCTGTTAATCCATCTGGTCAAGCTTCGAGCCCCTCTTTAGAACCTTTGTGTCCATATGCAGAAGCAACTGGAATCTGTAGAAACTTAAATTGCACATATCTTCACGGTGACATTTGTGAATTATGCAGCCGCGCTGTCCTTCACCCACACAATGAAGAATTGAGGAAGAAACATACAAATGTAAGCCCTATTTATTATTAGATTTGTGTTAAATTTGTTTAAACTATGCTATACATTTCCAAACTAGAAAGTGGAGAGTAAAACCATATTATATGACTATTAAATTTCTTTGTTTCAAACTTATAACATCAATCAATATTTCTTAATGAAATTGACACACAAAATGTGCTCCATAATAATTATTAAATGATTTTTTTAATGATTATTAAATGATTTTTATTTCCAATTTCATTTAAAAAAATTAAAGAGTCGCTCTCTTCTGCTTTATTGAGACAATTATATTTTATCTGTCCCTTATAAAGTACCTCAATAATTTTTAAGAAAAAGGATTTTATTATTCAACTGTTTAAAAAAATAACATTTCATAACACTTTCTATGGATTATATATATTGGATATTTTGTGAATAAGAAAAATAATTGATGGTTATTTACATACAGGCATGTGTAAAACAACACGAAGCAGATATGGAGTTATCTTTTGCTATTCAACGCAGCAAAGAAAAATCCTGTGGCGTTTGTTTCGAAACAATAATGGAAAAGTCATCGCGAGAACAGAGGTTCGGTATATTGCCGAATTGCAATCACTGTTTCTGTCTAACTTGCATCAGAAAGTGGCGTCAAGCTAAACAATTCGACAATAAAATCATAAGGGCATGCCCGGAATGTCGTATTCCCTCGGACTTTGTTTGTCCTAGTATGTACTGGGTGGACACAAAAGAAGAAAAGGAAAAGTTGATAAGGGATTATAAAGGTGCTTTGAGGTAAAAAATGATCGCGATCAATCATAATCTGTCTCTACCTCAATTATTTTGTTGCAGTCGTGTTTTCTAACATTTTGTTTTATTTCTTATAGTACCAAAGACTGCAAGTACTTCAATAAAGGTCGTGGCAAGTGTCCGTTTGGTAATAAATGTTTCTATCTTCACGCACTTCCCGATGGGACTAAGAAAGATGTGGGCCCACCTGTTCGACAGAGGCGCAATACTGCCGACGCCGATATCGACATCTTGCACGTAAGTGTGGCTATCTTATTGTTTGCAAAAGTATATTTATTTTCATTGTGTTGCATTTAAAAACGTCGACAAACGAGTCATTCATGTTATAAAATGTCGTGGGGAGGGAGCAAGCGATATAATATTTTAAATCAAATGGTCGAGCTACATCCATGTAATTTATATTGCATTCTGATATGAATAGAACATGACAATACGGCTTTGCCGTTTACTATTTACAGCAACTGATCTTATGGGATTTCCTCGATGAAAGGGACGATCGTTGGATGTATCTCGATTTAGAAGATATCCCTTTCTTCTCAGATTCCGACGATTCCGATTGGTCCGATTATGAGCTGTCGTTCGATTAAACAAGTAAAACTATTCGATCGACGCGAAACTGCCTTGATATCGCTATTATCATTATTCTGTTGCTACATCGGTACCCACTTCCTTTACCATTTACGCGCGGCTTTAGCAATTAAGAAAATTATTAGATAATTAGCAAATAATTTGAATGAATATATAATTCGAAGACGTTCTAGCGCTATGTAGAAGAAAAAAAGAGAAAAAAAGAAAAAATGTGCGCACTTTCTTAAAATGATAATTTATATATAAGAAATGTATAGTCGTGGTGTTTAAATAGTTGAAATATTTCTTCTGTTTTATTTAATAGATAATATCTAAATTTTATTTCTATGTAAATCAAAAATGATGGTAATAGTTATTAAAAGTTATTAAAATATAAGATAATAAAAAGGAATAAATGAAGATTTTAAAATATATAAAATAATAGTTTAATAACTATTACCCCCTTTAATTGTTTTATGTAGAAATAATGCCTTTTAGAAATTATCTGCGAAAGAAATATCTCGATTATTTTAATGGCGATTTTGCATTTGTCTATAGACAATTATGAGATCAACAATTTCGCGGTGCATAGTCGAAAAAATAAAAAAATAAAATGAAAGGGAAATAATGTGAATACTAGTGAAGATTTCGCTAGATATTCATTTTGGAATCATCTTCTTTGTGTGTCTTGACCAATGCTCTACTAACTGATGGTTATTCTAGCAACTATTATTAATTCAGTGGTCCAAATTTCATCAAAGAATAGTCTATATATCGGTATTTTTCCGACGTCCTATTTCTCGTAGAGTAATATTGTTAATTTCTTTTTCTATACTCGCGCGCGCGCGATACTACTTATTATTGTTAAAATATTCCATAATGCATGATTTGGAACACATTAAATCGAATCATAGAATAAGTGAGTCAATAAATAATCGGAATTTTAGTGACTGTGCTCATATCGAATGTCTTCATATAAAATTATCTGCTTTTGTTTAATGAGATATATGATCAGAAGTATATGGTCAGGTATATTTCAAAATAGTATGATTCAAATTTTTTTTTTTTTTTCGAAGGCTTCTCTTTGGTTAATGTAAGTTAGATTGCTCTGTGAGTTAGATTAGATTTACTCTGTTGTAATTTCGATAAACATTTGTCATTTATAATGATGCTAATGATCATAATATGTACTTAATCAATATAAAAATTTTTGAAAACGTGCTAATACTGGATTTAAACAATACTTTGAGAAATGCAAATTACTGTATTCAATTTTATTGGATTTTATTTGAATTTATAACATATATATCCATATGTAGGGCATGGTTCTCGTGATTGCAATATAACTTTGCATTTAAATAAAGGATAAATCTTGTCGTATTTATAGGTATAATTCTGATATAGTCAACGGTATCAACCAAATGTGCATTACATTCAATAATAATAAACTTTTTTCATACTAACACAATTGTTACAAAGTAATATTGCAGTTACAGAACATTCTATTTAATTATTACTCGTCGAAGGCTCACAACACTACTATTCGCATATAAAAATAGGAAAACTGGACAACGATTTATTACTTGTGTGTGATCAGTGTGCATTGTTAGTTCAATTTATCAATAGTTCATATCGAAGGTACGATTTACAAAAAATCGTCCTACCTCTTGCTATGGCTCTGCGAATCTTTAATACATTTCTTTAAATTATTACAATTGTATAGCGTTATATCCGTGAATAATAGATATTCCTCTAAGACCTCTGAGAGCAAGTGTGCAAAGTGAATGTGATATATACGTAAGGGTGATATGCGAACGCATCAATATGCGACATTTGTGTGCGTGTGTGTGAATGGAAGTAAGTACGAATATAAAAATATTTGCGAGAAAGAGACGGGCTACCGTAGCATATATGGGATAAATAACAAATGTAATAAAGAGATTGCTTTTCGTGGAGTACGCATTTGTAGATTCAAGATTTAAGGAGACAATTAGGGAAATACGCACGACGGAGTTGGACCCACGACATAGAGCCATGCTGGGAGAAAATATCATCGTCGCGCGGTCGTTTTTACATTTTATCAACTTACTAATAATAGTAACACATGTTCCAAAAGCCGTTTTTTCAACATAGAACCATGATAATTACGCTTTGAAGGGCATAGATCTCTCTTGCATGAAACGGCTAAAATTGTCGAAATGGTATGTACGAAGAAAAAATACACAAAAAATACGATATTCACATTTTTAGCATTGAATATATTTTGTGAGATATTATTTTATAATTTTGTATTATATATGATCTATCGGCAATATGTTTGACAAATAATATCGTGTTCTAAACAGTTCCTGCTCGCATTTACAACCCAATTCATATATCACTCTAAGGAGAAGTGACCAGTTTTTACAGCAGAGAGCCAGTACTGCCTTTCAAAAGCTATGTGATTATAGAGTAATATATATATTGTTCATCATATAAAAGTCAGTTTCTTAATCCGCCTCAATAAAGCGTTTTATCGAATCGAACTTTCACTATGCTGAATATTGTTTACATTTCCTATAGAATTTCTATGCTGTTAATTTTATCGATAATTGTTAGTATAAAACGGGCTTATATTGTTATTGGTAATGTTTATATAGAGCTTTCTATGATATACGCTGTGCGTTTTCGAGCGACTATTTTTGGAACCACTTTCTTTAAACAATCATCAATTCCTCGATGTGAAAAAAATAAAAATATATAAACGTTTTGGGCGACTTTGGATTGTGATAGATAGTAGAATTTAAATTATTAAGTTGAGTCCTTGGCTTACTGAGGATGATTTGAATTTGATTTTGAAAATTAATGGAAAATTCACGATGGAAATTTCTACATTTTTAACGACATTAGTATCATTACGTATTATATACATCGTTGTAGGCAGAAAGTTAAATTGACTGCGTTAATCGTTGCACGAATTTTGTTATCGTTACTGCCATTTTTATCTATCTCGATATAAGCGTACTACCATTTACTACAGTGTCATGTTCTAAATGCGTGCAATGCGAAGGAGATATGTAAAATTAGGAGTTGATGTTTAAAATCATTCAACGAAATTCAACGCAGTTCACTTTAACTTTGGCGATAAGTTTTTGGAGTTAATTTTGGAATTTACTCTCCCTTTCTCTCTCTCGCATACATAGTACATAACAATTTAAAAGTCAATATTCTGTGTGTGATTTGTGTTGTAATAACCCGAAGAATATAAATAATACCAAATTATTGTTTCATCTGGATTATTGTGACAGAATAGTGAATGGTAAAATGATAATATGATTATATAATATTCTTAATATTTCAATCTCATTCTCAGGATAATTTCCTTAAGCTAGTTTAGAAATCGTAGAATTTATAAAACAATCGCGTGCGTCGTATGTTTCTGCGTATAGAAATCAATTGCCAAAATTCTCCCGCAAAAGTATGCATTAATGTCAATTGATCATACTAAATGTACCTGCATTGAATACCGTATTGCGTACTGATGAGTATTATTTTTTCCTTCAACAACTTGAATATGCTTCATAGATTGCAATGTTATTTATCATTTGTATAAATGAGATTGTGAATATCTCAAATAAGCCTTTCTTTTTCTTTTTTTTAGCTTATATAGTACATGTATGATTCTCTTTAGGGTAATATTGTATTGAATATATCATTTTATTTTAATTTTATTTTCTAGTATATTATATATATATATATTTATTTTTATTATGTATGTTGAACGAATGTTTTGTCGTATGCTGAAAATGCTCGAAGAGTTTTTGCGAAATAGAACAAAAATTGTATAATTGTATAAGTTTTAGAATCGGTAATTCTTGTTGATATTTTTCAAAAATTTCTGTACGTAATTAATTCTTATATTTTTGTAATTTATCATGTCGCAAATTTGCTTACATTACAATAAAGGCTCCGTTAAACGGATTGTAACATTAAAATGAAAATCTTGTTTGCTAAGTAGATTTTCACCATGAAAAAGTAAAATCAATGTGGAAAACATCTTTATGTCACAGCTTGCCTCTTATGTCTTTAATAGATTATGAATATTTTTTTAATAGCAATAAATATACAGATTAAATTAAGAAAACTGTATTTTCACTACATGAAGCATAAATTGCGAATTTATCATTTTCTATTAATCTTTTTTATTTAAAAAATTGCGAATTGATTATATCAATTAATAATAGCACAAGAGTTCCCTTTTTCCCCTTAATTTTTCTTATTTATTTTTTTTTATTTTTCTCGATAAATAAAATTGTGTGGAACTGTTCGCGTTTGCTTTTGCAGTGTATCAGCGCGTGTCAGGCAGAAAAAATATATTGCAGTCCGAATGTGTTCAGTAGTTTTTCAATGCCTAGTTAAAATGTGCACACATTCGTTAAAACTTCTTTCGAGGTGTCTAACATAAACACAAGCTATTCGATTAAGCACAAAGTATACGATTGCGATCAGTATCGCATTGCGCTTGTAAAATGCACAATAAAGATCTGTCGTAACGGATCATAAAACATAACAAATGTGTTGTTGATAAAATACGCAAGTGTATTGCTCGTGATAGATATAAAAATAATTGTTTCTTACACATTGGATATATTACAAATTTGGGGAGATGCATTCTTATATAGGGACGTGTTAATTAAGCAATTTACATATTGTATTGCATATAGAAGATTTTCAGCATGGTTTTCGTGTATCAAAAAGTATACGAAAACCATGTGTGAGCACTGATAATAAAAGTAAAAAAAACTTCGTTGCGCAGCCCACTGGATATTTAAATCATGATTGATTTAACGTTTGAACTCCCCTTTTCTCTTATCGAGGGTCCGCCGTCAATTTCGTGTGTCCCTTCTCTTTTAACGAAATAGAATTATTATTAATAATAAAAAGTCTATATATAACATTGTTAAAAATTATATACAATCCGTTTATTTCCCAAATTGGATCAACCTCTGATGTGTTTTCCGATACTTCCTTCACTGTAATTCAATACAAATTGTCCAATTGTCAGCAATTGTAACGTTGTTATATCGTCGTTGTATAATTGATGAGCTTCTCTAATTAATGTATAAATAAGACAGAGATAATGTAGTCATTGTCCTGTTTGTTTTAAGCGGTAAAAAAATCAGTAATCATCATTAGTGGATTGTATATTCATTAGAGTCTGGTGCCGAGGATAAAGCGATCCTATCTTTAATTTCATTTCTTATGATGATATATTTTTGTTATTGAATATGTAGATTAATAAAATCTCGAATAGTAAGTCTGGAAGGAGTCAGATATTTTATATCCTTCTTCTATTGTCCTTTTAATTCCCCAGTTATTGCGGTATGTTAACAAACTTTTTGAAAAATTATTTTGAAATATTTATTTTAAGATATACATGCATTATATATGCCTTCATTATATGTGCCTTCATTTTTTACATTTATTCTACATTTATTCTACGATTCTGTGCTGACTCTAATAAGAATTATTAAAAATTGTTAATTTCTTGTAAGTGAACAATGATTTATATTGATTTGCTTGCTTCCATCTCGCAAATTAAGAGAATCGCGATTATTTAAGCTATAATATTGACAAAATATACAAATTTATATTTTTATCATGTTATTAAAAGAGATTTTTCCTTTTTGAAAAAATGTTGCGTTTCCTTTATTATGTGTTTTAACGATATAGTTATTAACAATATGATTTTTTATGTTATCGACAAATCTGAATCTCGCACCATTTAGTGTAAAATATGATCACAGATGGCGGTTATGGTATATTTCATATATTCGCGCTTTATATATAGTTTCCAGATCGAAACAATTATTTATGTGTGTAGTATTTGTGTGTGCATTATAAAATAGAATAACCCGATATCGATCCAATAAAATTACACTTTACGAGAATGCGAAAATTGTAAGTTCTCTGATAATTAGAATTTAAGGATCGCATTTTTGAAGGTGTAAAAGTAAAAATACGTAATATTTATGCGTTTAAAAATTTATACATTACACTGTTAAATAATATAAAAATAATATAAAAAAAAATAATATAAAAAATTATAATAAATTTTTTCAAATTTAAATAATCATAACTCGTGTGTGCGTGCGTGCGTGCGTGTGCGTGTGTGTGTATGTGCATATATGTGTATGTATACACACACATATTATAAACATGAGTCATGATTCTTTATTTATATTATAATGACTAAATTTTTAAATGCATAAATATCATTATTTTTTCTCTCATACCTTCAAATATGCAATCCTGAAATTCCAATTACTGATATATATGTATGTATGTACATGCAAAACAGAACGATGAAAATAACACGTCACAGATAGGACAAACACGAGGAAGAGATTTTCCTCGCGAGGCAGTAGAACGAAAAGCTAGAATGCGTGAGTACCTTGTTTGGTATCGGCAACTTTGAATTATATGTTTTCTATGCTGGGCAAACAGCTTTGAAGTGTTTAGCGCATAAAAATTTCTTATCAGAATCGCAAATATTGCTTGACGAATAAACGTGTATATCGGAGCATAAAATATTTTCTTCCGTTTGTCCCTCTTTATTATGTAAAATATATTCTTTTCGTTTTACTATCGCAAAGTATAATTTGAATTAATCGACAAGTAACAAATTCAATGCTAACAATTGTTGGTTAATTGTAAAATTGTAATGTGTAATTTTACACGTACACGTGAGGTAACTTTTTTAAACTATTTTATCATTTTAGGAAAATCATCATTTTAATCGAATATCATAAAAGTATTGAACTTTCAATATATGGCTCATTCACTATTTTTGCATTTTCAAAAGCTTTATCCAAGCTTACTCTGCATGATCATTTGTGTTACATGCTCACATATTTTGAACGCATAGGTAAATTAGAGATATCTGTTTGTATTGTTTGAATATTTTTATTGAAAAAATATTGAAAAAATATTCCAAAACTTCGGTGAGATATGTTCGGAAAATCGAGTATCCTAATAAATTAGAAATAAATTGGAAACATTAGCTATATTTGAATCGAAAATTGGAGGAAAAGTCCGATTGACGGAGACAGCACGGGCGAGACAACGAGATGCATTTTTGCGGGACACCTGGAATCGGATTTGTCCAATTGGCGGAAACGGAAAGGCGCGGTACAGCAACAATGTTTACGTCGCTCGATTGTGCGAGACGGCGCGACTTTGTCGTGGGGAGGTGGTCAAGCTCTCGCGAATTCGCGACGGTTAACTAGAACAGGAAGTTAATCCCGACAAGCACGGCGAGAATTAGCATATAAATTCGCCGAAATATATACATATAGTCGAGCGATATACGCGACTATCGCGGGGATCGCTTTGAGATCGCAAGAACGCACGTGTCTCCTCTTTGCGGTCTCGAATCACCGTCTCCCCTTTGTGTCGGTGTTTCTACGTATATTTGCACGGAATATCAACGACACATATTACATATTTCTGCAAACTATCCCCGTCTGATCTCTCTAATTATCGTCGCGGCCACAAATATTTTACATTCGCATTGCACGTTATTGTATGCGTAATCGGGAAATATGATTATAATTCGCAGTGTGAGTCATAAAATAACATATTATCAATTGGATTTATTTGACAACAAAAATATGTTTCTACGAAAAGCTCCGCGATAAACCTTTATTTCAAGATTTTGTCAAGTTATTGTCGAATTATGTTCGATTTTACGGAATTTCAATTAAATTTGGGACAGATGAAACGATAAAAAATATTATAACTCCAATCAATATTACACAATTAAATTACGATCGATTCAAATCGTTGAAATTATTGAAATGTTATGTATTTATATTGAAATCTATACAGCAGATGGTAAAACCAATTGAAAATCGAATATACGGTTCAAATCCCGTTGTTGCGCTTATCTGTGGTATTGTTCGTCATATACGCGCGCAAATTTTAATAGTAAAAAGCTATTTGCGCTTTTGCATTAATGTCACTCGTCTCAATTTAGCGTTCGAAATGTCGTTGCAGCGCGTGTTATGGCTCTTGATGTTCTGGACGATGGTTGTCCTGGAGTTCTTGCGGTACGCGTGGATTCGCACGACCGGATTATTTATCTACGGTCCCCAAGAGCGACGTGCGACGACAACGGTCGACGAACCTAATTACGAGCGAAGGTAGGTTCGCGGGTTAGACTAGAAGTCTAATTAAATGGTTACCCGCGTGTGTTTACGCTACTTTCAGAAACCGTGGACGGCAGCGGGAAAAAAATCGCGCGACATGCACCGACATTACGGAAGGTGTTTGCTCGGATTCGCGCTCATACGAAATGCGTTTCGAGGTATAAGCCGGTAGCTTAAAGCGCGGTAAAATGTGCGCTGGTTAAATTTCCCGTGAAAACCGGGGTGTCACGGAAGTTACGTACGTAAAGAGAGGCACTGTCCTTGTACCATTTCGAATCGTTGTTTCTTTCGCGCTTATATGTGTATTAGAGAATTGCAGTGATTATTCTCCTAAAAGAAAATTTATAGCAAGAGCTAACTCCCTCGACTTTGCGTAAAATTATATTTAATGCGCGCTGCATTTTTCTTGTCGCTATCATGCGAAGCTATTGAAATTATAATTTTTTTTTTCACATCGCGCAGAGTTTCTTTCCCTTCCGAGAGATTTAATCTCTCTTTAACCGAAATCGGTTTGGATTAATTCGAATTTAATTTGAGTAAATTACACATTTAATTTACGATCGTTTAAAATATTTAAGAGCACGGAATATTTATTCTTTTCTCTCGTAGAAGATCGTGAGCTAGAATTTCTGTAAAAATGCGGGAAGTAAATTCGGACAGTAGTGGGTTAATGGGAAAAATCTCAGACTCCGGACGTAAAGAAAACCGAGGTGAAGGAGGGACGGGGGATTAGGTCGAATAGAGCCAAGTAGAGAAGAGAAAAGGAAAACTGCAGGCGGGGAATATAAAATCGGTTTCTCTGTGTCGAGTCTATCCAGGATTTCTAAATTGCCTCTGTTTGTTTCGCAAGCAAAGAAGCGCTGCCGTGCATCAAAATGGTCGATTGGCGCGCCGATAGCCGATGTCTAATATATCGAGGAAAACCTCTCTCAGGTTGATCGTGACCCATCGACTCGATGTTGATTCATCGCGTTTTCGAGCTGAAAGCTCTTTCAGCCGATCGACAGGAAAGATCAAAACAAAAGAGAAAAACAGGACAAGGATAAAGGATATTAGCGATAAAGGGTCGAACGTTATCGCGCTTATTTGCTCGAGATCTGCGCGTGCCAGATAAATTAAATATACTTAATGTATTCTTCAACATTATTATAATTATATAATAACGACATTTGACAAATAATATTTTATCAATTTATGTTAGAGAAATAGATCTACTTTTCACAATATACGAGAAATATGATAATCATTGAAGCATTTACTTTAATATATTTTAACAGAGAGATATATGTTTTTAATACGATCAATTATTTTTTATTTGTTATCGAAAATGTTAGATTATCGTATTTATTGAGACATATGATTATAATCGGTTATATTTTTCTCTGTAGTTTCAGATTGCAGACAGATACACGTAATAGACAACGCGCACGTTTAAACGTCAATTCGCATCACTCTAGCGACATTCCATCGCCATAAAATTGCTGCGAAGTCCATTTTTCAATTATATAAAAAAAAAACTTTTACTTTGTGCTATCGTTAATAATGACGAATCTCAGGAATATCGAGAAGAAATAACGCGCGATCGGATATGGGATATCATTGGATAATGAGTTGCACGATTGTTAACACGCATGAACGATAATAAACGAATATTTGCAATGATATACGAATCGTAATCGAAGTCAACAATCGCCATTATGCGTCGCAAGCAGTTACCATCTAGACATATCGAAATCGCTCCGTTTTTCGTAGTTTCACTGGTAAAGAGATTGCGGCTGAAAGCGAATGTCGCGCGGAAGGATTGATCGCGATTACCGTAAACTAATCACATATTTTTATAATATCTGTAATATTAAAAAAAGAAAAATCCTCGTCGCGAACGATGCGATGCAGAATACAGTCAGAGCTGTCTATTCTTCATCACATCGCGCGATAGTATTAGATAAATAAATTATAATAAATATATTGTTTCTCGATCATGCGTCTCAAGAACGTATTTTAAATGATTACGACTTTTTCTTTTTTTTTTCGAGACTGGATGTGCCTCGGGACAGCGCGTCCTTCCTCAGTTTTCGATATCAGCCCAATACAGAAAATTGAATGAGGGCGCACTTAGGGCGCATCGGTGCGCGCTAAGTGTATCCAACCGAAATTCGCCGTAAGATTTCCGAGTCAAGTTGGCAAGGCGTACACCGGATCGCAATCGAACGATACTTCACGCGATAAGCGCCATTTCGCGTCGCGAGTCGTCAGCGTCGAGACGTGGTGAAATCGCTCCGCGTATTTCTCGCCACTTTATCAGCGGGGAGTGACTTGCGGCTGAAAGCGACTGTCACAGGAGTAGTCGATCGCGATACCGTGCGCCGAATTATCGTAAATCACATATTATTTTAATATTTCTAACAATATTCGAGAATCTCTGTGAAACGATGCGATGCCGAGTACAGTAGTCGGCTGTCTATTCGCATTACATCGCGCAACAGTACGTATAAAAGTAATATATTAAGTAATATAACGAATATATTGTTTCGATCATAAAAGCGAATTCGAGATTGGATGCGCGCCGAGAACGCGTCGGAAAGCCCGTCCTTTCTCAATTTTCAATACTAATCGCGAATACGGAAAGCCGAGGGAGAGCGCGTCAGGGCATCCAACCGAATCTCCCGAAAGATTTCCATGAAGATGACGTCACGCGTGGATCGCAATCCAACAAACTTCGCGCGATACCGCCATTTTGCGCCGCCAGTTGCAGCGTCGAGACGTGTGTGCTTGTCAATCGCTTCGCGTATTTTTTTTTTTTGCGATTTTAATCCGATAAATAGTGACAGAAGAACGTCAGCAGATTCGATTGCGACACCGTGTATGCTGGATTATTGTAAGTGATCGCATCTTCTCTCAATTTTGTAACATGATATTCGAAAATCTCCGAAAACGATTACAAAGAACGATCAAGATCGCGACTTCTACTTCGCGTTGCATCGCATTAAAGTAAAGATGGCGACTCTCGTCGCATGTATATCGCAGTGGAACGATATTTCACGCGACAGCCGCTATTTTGTGCCGCGAGTCATTTGCGAGACGTGACCGGTATATTTTTCGATTTTTATCTCGTGACTCGCGAGCGAAGAATTTTGGCGAGTCATAACATCGCGCGTGCTTTTAATATTCAGTAATGATGTTCTTTGTCGATAATGCGCCGCAGCTTTCACCTACGAAAGGCGATCCGTGGAAACAATTCTCAAAGATATCACAACGTTAAGATTAACTCGTTTAATAATCTCTTGACACGGTAATTCTTAGTATATTACATAAAAAAATATTTGTAGCCAGTATTTTTTTATTATACATTATATTTATAAGTGGCAAAAAAATTTAATTTAAGTACAAGTAACGGCAAAAAAAAACTTCATTAATTCTTCTTTAATTAACACAAAATACTTTTATGACACGCGAAAAGATTTCTTTTTTTGAAATTACAAAATAAAAAAAATAGGATACACTATAATATTCTCTATGATGATATTAATAAGTTAGATGTATGTATTTCTTTTGAGCGATTCGAATTTATCATTTTCATATTAATTGGCATAAAGTAAGATGATATAAATTAATATGATTAAGAGTTTTGATCGATTATACATTTCAAGTTTTACTCGTCTTTACGACAAATGTCTTAATGCTTAGATCTATGTACACGATGTTTAATACCAAAGAGATTAATATAACGTTTATATATTATCATATATTATTATATATTATACATACCTGGAGAATCTCTATCTTTTCCAACCTCTCCTTGTGGGACGATAATCATAATGGACGGAGAAAGTTTCGAGCAGGCACACGATAGCAAAAATTTACAAGTATCGCGACAAAAAGGAATTTTCGTATAATAACACTCGTCATATTTAATCGCGTATTTTCCATCTCGATAGTATTATTACAATTTTCGAATTGTGCCGACATGAATTATCGAAATGAAAAGCATTTATACTATCGCGCACTGTGCTTTGTAATTAATCGCGTATCTTTCATTACTTTCACAGGAGTACGGATACACAATAATAACGTCGTGTCTATTGCGTGTTTTCGATCGAGTGCTTTTACTGTCGCATCCCCTCCCCTTCTCCGGCCGGCCGGCGCGCGGTATGTTCGTCATAATAAACAAACCGAAGGTCGCTACGCACAGATCTACGTACAATGTCGAGCGATACGGACTCATTTTATGGATCTGCTCTATTTTACAACGGCGGAGTGAGATGAATGATTCTCGGTGCTGTATCGAACATTACAATGATCGCGGTATTAATTAATATACGCTATCGTAATTAATCATGTTTCTCTCTCTATATATTCGTAATCTGTATCTCGCGTAACCAAGTATCGCGTCCTCGTGTGTGAATACGTTGCGAATTTCCTTCGTTCTATCTCGCATTATTCGCTTTATGTGTAATGAATCGTAGGATTGGCGGAACACATCACGTGTTAATTAAGGTCCTGCTGCCGACGAATATGCACTACATCGAGTCCGAACGATCGATGAATATGTATCGCGAGCGGAGTATTGAAAATATTTCGGGAGGACCGAATATTCGGGAATGTTAAAAAATGAGGAGAAAATCGAAAGTGTCGCAAATCGCGAGTGTGTTACAGGTTACGAATATCGGCCGTAAATCGGTGAATTCAAGTATCCGAATGTATTAAAAATCGGGAGTGCCGCAAGTATCGAGAGTATCGTAAGTCAAGAGCGTCGTAAATCGGCAATGCCGTAAATCGGGAGTGTCGTAAATCGGGAGTGTCGAATATCCGGGAGTGTTGAAAATCAAATCTGTCGTAAATCGAGAGTGTGATTGTTATTAATCATTTCGCGCGCGAGATCGTAGTTAATCATTCCGGTCGATATGTAATTCGAGTGTCTTCGAAGCTGTCCTCAACTGGATGTCGCCTGAATACAGAAACCAGCGAGGATAAACAACGAACATCGGCTGGTGAGTAAACATTTTTGATTAAATTTTATTTATTCTTTATTTTTATTTCGTTATTCTTCTCCTTCATAAATGCTAGGATTATTTATTTTTTATTTAATGTATTGGTTTATCGTGTATGATTAATTGATTAATTTTTTTAATAGATATTTATATGCAAGAGAACAATTCTAAAAACCGTCTCTTGATTTTTCGAAAATAAATTATTAAATTATAAATAATTAACTATAATAAGTCTTTTTTTAAAAATGAATTATTTTAAGAAATTAATTAACAATAATTTTTATTCAAGTTCATAAAATATAAAGAATAAATTAATTTTTTTAAAATTAATATTGATGATTTTATAAATAATTTTTGAGTAAATATGTATGTGTAAATTATAACTTTATAATTTACAAAAGATGATCAATTTAATTATAATTAATAATAATCTAAAAATTGTTTTTCAGATGCACCATGTGCCATGTGCGTGATATAATCGGTGAGTGAACTTATTATATACATATATAATAATGTATATATGATAATGCCCGAATGTGTATAATATATTTTTGCTCGAATTTAAAATAAATGAATAATTGATATCAAAATTTATCAAAAGCTATCTCAAAATTTAAGTGTAAAGGTAATTGACTTTGAACATATTCTCTTTAATTTTGAATATATTCCTTTAATTATATAATTTGGGATATGAATATGTGTTTTCTGAATTGAAAGTATTAAAATATATAAAAGCTATTATGCTGCTAATATCCATGAATTTAAATTAAGCATGCACAATTTTGTGAAAAAGATTAGAATAAAATCTATATATTCCGCTTTACAGATTAAGTCAAATTTAAATATATATTATCATACTATAATTCCTTGAGAATTTAATTTTTTATTTTTATTAAATTTAATATTTAGCTTTATAATAAAATCTTATAAAATATCTTATAAAATATATTTAAAAGCATGTATTTTAAAAATATTTATTTCTTTCATTTCATCTTTATTGAATATGTACATGCTATATATACGAGTGTATATATATATATATATACGTAAAAAAGCTATAGCGTTATATTTAATATATCAATTATATAATTTTATTATATATATATATATATATATATATATATATAATAATAAAATATATATATATAATAAAATTATATAATTGATATATTAAATATTACGCTATAGCTTTTTTACGCGTTATTCATGTTTATTCATATGGTAGCGAATTTCTGTATACTTTGCTGCATTCTTTGCATAAATTTGGGCATTATTATATTTGCATTTTTGTTAATGCATATGGTTGATGCGTTCCAACAGATGCTTCGTCGTTTTAATTGGAGTTACATTCATTAAATAATAAACTAATTTTCTATCTCTCTTTCGAGGAGAGATTTATGTTACATTTTTAATAAAATCGATTACAAAGATACTTTTTCTATGAAATTTGTACAGTCATAATTGACAATTACAAATGGACTTCTAATCCAGCTACTATTTGAAATTATTAATCGCATCGTTCGTACAAGTTTGATATGTTAAACGTACGCAAAATGCGCTAAATTGCATCAAATTTTGTTAAATGACTTTGAAATCGTTAATTCAATTGAACGCGAGATAGCGATATTTATGAAAGCGATCATGGTTCACTTCGACGCGGTAAAAAAAATTTCATCGTCGAAAGTCCAATTTGAAAATCGCCCCACGGGTGGAACGGACAAAAAATGATCCGCGAGGATTCTGAAAGTTCAATTTTCCGCGGCGGCGAAAGAGCTTGTAACGGCAAATATGCGTCGACCTTTTTGTTTCGATCCTGTGGGATTTC